AAGCACACGGTCCACTCGCGCGTTTGTTTGGAATACGTATCGAGTGGGCCACGATTTATCGAATGCAGCTTCTCTTTTTTATTTTCGTTCAGGTGTCACTCCAAGCTTAACACTAAACCTATTATCGCCGGACAAAATTTCATAGGAAATGATTGAATAAATTATTTAATCCAAGTACACAGTGTACTAAAAATCGTGAAAAGTCTAAGTAAATTCAGTCCTGTCGTTCTTGCAGGGTAACACACATTCGTCACTTTTAATGCTCGGTACGTTTAGCGTCAAGTCTGTTTCCGATTATTTAAAAAAATTTCATTTATAACTATATTACGCGATTGTGTTGTTGTAATTGGGATGTAGTGATACGTGTAGTTTACGTTGCAACGAGTACGGCCTTAGTTTTTATATCGAACGTGTTTTTTAGAAAGATAGCATAGACTACAAGTATTTTTATCTTCTCATGTAATATAGAATTTGGCAAGTTAACTTTTTTTGAAATATTATTACACATGGATTTCAAGAAAGCTTGAAAGAGTGCATATGTAATTTTACTTTTTCGAAAATTCGTTGATCTTATACTAGTTGCGGAGCACGTGTAAGGTTCTAGGTTCAGCAGGCGAATCGCTTATTATTCTTTGTATTATTAAATGTTCGTATGTTCGTTATTATTTATTATGTTCGTAATTATGTTCGTATTTGTATTTGTATTTGTACTCGTATTCGCATTTGTATTCGTATTTGTGTTTTTGTATTTGTATTTGTATTTGTATTTGTATTTGTATTTGTATTTGTATTTGTATTTGTATTTGTATTTGTATTTGTATTTGTATTTGTATTTATTTTTGTATTTGTATTTGTATTTGTATTTGTATTTGTATTTGTATTTGTATTTGTATTTGTATTCGTATTTGTATTCGTATTCGTGATCGGTGGTGGTATATCGTACGGGAATCATAATCGCTTGGAATTTGGATGGTTTTTAGATTTCCCATCAAGGGATATCATCGTACGAAGACGTCTCATCCGCCGATAGATCCACTTTTCGGCCGCAATAATTTGTTGATATGTAGTTACTTATTAAAGTATTATTTATTAAGATGTTATTTACTAAGACGTTATTTATTAAGTAAAACTTGTTGTGAAAAAGGGAGCCATAACGAATTCTGTCTTCGTTCTGACTCTCTTTCGGGTCTCCACTCACAGCAACCTCCACGTGGCGAGACTCGGGCAATCGATGACTCGACATTTCGATTTCAAATCAGTTATAAATCGAAAGAAACTTCGATCATTCTATAATAGATTCGAAATCGATAAGTACCTCGAGCTAATGGCTGTGAAGCAGAGCTGGGGAAGAGTAAATTCTTTTCATAGTACATAGATTGTAAATACTTTTATCTTCTCATGCAATACAGAATTTGGCAAATCATCTATTTTTTGACATAATAGTTTATACGTATAGAAATAGCATTTCAAATATATTTAACTATATAATATCCATGTGTAAATAATATTTCAAAAAAAGTTGACTTGCCAAATTCTATATTACATGAGAAGATAAAAATATTTGTAGTCTATTTATCTATTTACTATTCCGAAAATCAATTTGTCCTCAGCCCTGCTATGAAGTAAACGGTTTAAATGCGAGTAACGTCCCAAGTTGAGGAACAATATGAGATAAATTAATTACTGTAATTTCTTTGATATTTATAAAATAATATTTTGTTATAATTATAGATATGATAACCGTTGTGCAATCTCTTCTGAATTTTCAGGTACAAACGTCGCCTCGATGATTCGACGTGCTGGAATGTCTCGAATTTAACCAGATAGTATCTGTTGGGTTGTTGCAAATGTATATAATCTCGGTTTACCAAATAGATAGCTTACAAAGAAACCTAAAGTACTTTTGCAACAACTCAATATCACAGACTTAGAATCCGTACACACATTGCAGGCAATGCTCTTTTTGCAATGCTAGCACTGTAAAGCTTATAAAATTAACATTGTATCCACCTGCACGAAAAAAAAAGTATGTATCTATTGCTATATGTGTACAATCACTAATTATGTAATTAGTAAAAATAAATGCTCAACTGCCTATAAAAATAATTACATTTTATATCGTATTTCTGTAGTACACGTTTCGTAAATACTATTTCCATCATTTAAATGTTCGCGCCGTATAAACTTACTGCCTCGAAATAATATTCAGCACTCATAGTAGAAATGAAATATATAGGATATTCGCTTCTTGCTAACGTCTCTATTTTTCGTAAACTATCGGTAACGCTGAGCGCGACACGAAATAGTAAGGGGGTTTTCGAAAAAAGTAGTCCGTAAAATAGTCCATAAAAATAGTCCGTAAGATGCAATGTCTGTACGGATCCTAAGTCTATGGTAAATATCAGCATGGACCAGAACCCATTTAGCAAGGACGAGGTATAGATACGAAAGACTCTGATGCAAACAGTGTTAATTTTCTTCTAAATTCTTCCGAATCCTCCATATGTGGGTTCTACTCTATGCTTACATTTATTGGATTATGGGGTCTAGGCTATGCCAACGTCTTGTGGTTTGTATTGTTCGCCGCTTGGTGTAACATCACTTCTATAGAAGTTGGAGTCGCCAAAACCCCTGGTGTAAGCACCTTATTTTTTATATTATTATATTATCATATTTATATTGTTATTATTATTATTTTTATATTTATATTATATATTATATTATTTATATTATATATTATTATTATTTAATATATTTATATTATATATATTATGTTTATATATTATATATTTATATTCTTTTGTAATTTTCTTTGTAAAATTGCACCTTGATACGATTGGTTACACTCAGTGGCTTACAAAAGTAATAGAATTTTTAAAACAGAATAACTTCTTTAACACTGAACCTATCCAGCCGATCAATATGACTGGTTTCACATATTTTATTCTGAGTTCTTCCACAAGAACTCTTCCATAAGATCTACCTTCCACGAGAATTCAGTCTCAGGAATGTTCTGATCGTTGTTATGAAGTAGCACGTACCAGGCACGTTTACAACTCTGTAGGTTTAGCGTTAAAATTGCATCAAATGACTTGATTTTTTCTAGGTGTTAAAAGGGCTGGTTTACTGGTTAACTAGTTTGGCAGTGTCTAAATAAAATTTTTGGTTAATAACCCTCAAAACTTTAGAGTGGCAAAGAGAAGGATTAAAAACTCACGTTTCTTACCTTTTGTGTCTAAGTCTAAAACGAAAACTTATACTCGGTGACTTATATGCAAGCTGAATGTTTTAGCGAAATTAGTTGATGCAGGATGAAGCTACATGTATCGAATGATGTAAAAGTCTCCAGATATCGAAAGTCCAGTTAATCAATTTCGATGAACCGCCCCCCTGCCCCTGCAAAACGCACTGTTTAAATTGTCATTTTAGATTCAGATAAAATAGTTGAAGAAAATGTGATTTTTGAAAAACATTTTTTAGACATTGTATACAAACTAGTCCTTCTAATACCTAAAAGAGAAAAATCAAGTCAGAAGTTATTCCGTTTTTTAAAAGCTGAAAAAGAGCTTCGTGTCGACCCGATTGACACAAGGACATTCCTCCACGAGACAAGGAAAAATACGCGGCATGATAATACGTTCTAGAGTGTCCGTCAAAACCGATTAACGTTAATATGAGCTACAATTGGTTAGGCCCCGCTGTCAGCTCTGACACTTCATTATAAAAAAATGTTCTATTTTAGATAATCGCTTTGACTTAGACGTAACATTGTCTGACACTTCATTATAAAAAATATTCTGTTTTAGATAATCGCTTTGACTTAGACGTAACATTGTCTGACACTGCATTATAAAAAATTTTCTATTTTAAATAATCGTTTTTACTTAGACGTAACATTGTCCTGCCTATTCAAGATTTTCTCAAATTACGGTTTATTAAAGTTTAATACAGCAACGTTTTTGTCTTAAACATTTTTTTCCACAATGCTTTTTTCCTGAGATAATTTATCGTTCCAGAAAATTTCGTGGAACCTGTAAACCGTGCGTTATTTCTACTATATAAAATGGATTCGACTACATATTCTGCTGGTAAATAGAATTTTTATACCATCTTTTATCGCTCAATCAGATGAATTACTGATATTAATATTCTCAATTAATAGTCCGATCGAATTGCCGTCACTCGGAACATATGAACATTTTTAACATGTTCATAAATGTACGATAACATTTTATTGTTAGGAATATTGAGATTTAAGGTTTGTTTATGATACCGGTTATCTTATTATGTGAACAAACTTAAAATCTTGTTATCACTATCATAACCGTTTTATTTGTTTTTATACAGGCTAAACTTGCACGAAATTAGTAAAATTAGTTTGTGGGTCTTTTTTTATACTTTATGACGTCCATATTGATGTATGTACGTTTATTATATTATATTTATGTATGTTTTTATATCGTTATGCACAGTAATTAACTAAATATTTCTTCGGTTCACGGTACAGATTGCATCTTATGGGGTCTTTTCTGTTCACGTCTACGGTCTTCAGAGACCTTTCTTATCGTTAGCAAGGAGCAAATGTCCTACATTCAGGGTGTCCCAAAATTGTTACTTCAGGAAAGTTCTTGAAGTCATTTAAAGTAACCTTTTCCTTAGTGCAAATGCAATCCGCGGCTTTGTTTACGAGTTATTAACGAAAATCATTGACCAATAAGAAGAGCCAACAAGCGGCCGAAGCATAGTTTCGCTCATTGGTCTAGCCGCCTTGCACCGGTCGAGCTGACCTCTCATTGGTCCCTTTTTTTCATTAATAACTCTTAAACGAAGCGACGGATTGCATTTGCGCTAAGGAGAAAGTTACTTCAAATGATCTCAGGAACCTCTCATTTCCCGGAAATGACACAATTTTGGAATATCCTGTATAATTTGGTGCTCATTGTACGATTGCGTTTGGATTTATTATGAAACACCTAACAAAAATGTCTTAAATTGCTTACCTGAGGTGCTGCTAAGATGAGAGACAGTATCCATGCTATGATAATTAGCCTGCAACATCTGTTAGACGTGTTCAGTCCCTTCATGGGATATCTCACGGCAATGAAACGATCTGCGCCAATCAATACGAGCACGAACGTGCTTAGGTATAGGCTGAACATTTGTAAGTATTTGAATAGTTTACACGCAATGTTCCCCCATATCCACTCTACTGTGTAGCTCCATACTGCTTCGCCGCCTATGCAGAACACGCTGACCAATAGATCAGCTACGGCCAGGTGTAAAATCAGCGTGTAAATTGCGGACCAACTGTGCCGGCGACGACGGCTTCTTGCGATTGAATAAATGGTCGCCACGTTCGCCATAAAGCTGAGGATCGCCATGATGGATAAAACGATAACCTTGAACAGGGTTCTGTTCGTTAGTTGCGGCGCGTGTTCCAAACATGTTACATTGTTTAGCAAATTGTAGTGAACTTGGTGCTTGAGTTCGCTGATATTGTGCCATGTTTGTGAATCCAGACCGAGACCAGGTCCACGGGAATACTCGACAGAAATAGTCAGATTGTCGCAGGCTGGTAAGACGGTCATGGCAGAGTTTCCCGCAAATTCAGCAAACGTTGTCATCGTATAATTTCTTCTGGCTTACTTATCTCGGTCTTCATACCTTTGGTCGGTTTCCTTATTCGGCAAAGACCTAATTTGTAAAGATTGAGAGTTACGTGAGAATGGCGGGATTAGAAAGAAACATTGCATGCAGAGGGAAGTGGGGTACTATTGTTTCTCTCGATAAATATAGTAAATTCTGTGCTAATAGAGTCCATTTTAAGGATTTGATTACATTGTCCCTGTGTTATCCCTACGCCTATACAGTCAATTTTACATAGTAGTCCATGTTATGGCTTTGCTGGAATTGCTACTGTGTTATTCTTACGCCTATATGCGTTATTCCTACGCTTATATACGTTATTCCTACATCTATATGCGTCATTTCTACGCCTATATGCGTTATTAATGGGCCTATATGCGTTATTGCTACGCCTATATGCGTTATTCCTACGCCTATGCTAAGGTTCGACGGAGTCGGTCAAGCGTGTGATGCGGCATGCGCATAATACAATAACGTAACTTTTAAAATTGTAACATTTTTGAACTGAATTTTGTTAACACATTGATGATAATTTTCAGATTAAAATGAGACCAAACATGATATAATTTCGACAGATATTTCTGATTATGGAAGATATTTTCGATGTAATTGGAAGAATCTCGCCAATATATTAACAAAATTTTCACGTAGCAAACATTAGAAATAAGTGAGTTAAGACATCGTTTACAATGACTTTTGTCTGTAATGTACAACTGTTTTTTTTTCTTTTTGACAATTCATTGTTGATACCACGAAGTCCTGACTCGAATTCAATAGAAAACCTATGCAGTCGGTTGGATGAGAGAACTAATAAAAAAACCAAATTTTTCAGAAAGTAGTTAGAATTTAAAAATATTGAAAAAGTTTGTATTGAAAATCTAATAACCAGCATTCCTATAGCTGGTTTGTAACCATAATTCATGCTAAAACTGTGAATATACAAAGTATATTATAATATCTATTTATTTAGTCATGTAATTTATTTTGTGTCCACTTATTTTTGTCTCCCGGCAAATAGATTATTTTGTTAAATATGGATCGCTTCCATAAAAGTGTAAAAATTACTTTGAATTTTTCACTAAATAATCTTTGTATACGGATACAGAATAAATAAGAATTAGATTTATAACAATAATGTAAATTTGATTTCTCATTTATAGCTATTCTGCCTATTTATGTTTAGAAATTAGGAAAATTTTAACCTGCTGGAGAAATTAATATTGAAAAGTTTGAAAAGATAAATGAGAAATAAAAAAACAGTGAATAGCAAATAGTAATGTAAACGAGTGAAAGTTGAGTGAAAGAAATGTTCAAGAAATGCACTCGTAAATATTTTATAATCACATGATCACGGTGCGTACTGTCGCAATTATCGTTTTCGTACATCGACGTTCTTATCAAAGTATTTTTAAAAGAAATCGCTGAATAAAGGAACTAACAACTTCCTCGAACCGAATTAAACCGCCAATGGGTTATTCGATAGCTTATCAGGAAAGAAGATTTTGTGCCAAGTTTTAAATCTCCATCCTCGAACGAGAGGGTACTTAAAGAGGAAAATCGGGTCATTAGATTTTTCGTTCATTTCTCCCATTTGCATGAAAAAATTCCGGAAAAATAGTGGATACGTAGCAGTTAACATATAATAATACATAATTTAATTAAAAATTCTCATGGAACATTAAAAATTTTTTAAACAGAACGGATTAAACGTCATGTCATTATATTATCACGTCAAAATATTACCGTGCCCGAAATTTCCGTAAAGCCACCTGATATTTTGTTGAAATCTTATTATTCCATAGCACACAATGATAATAACATTTTAGAATTAATAAAATTTCTATTCTATTAATTCTATTAATTAATTTTACCTATTATTTACCTAGTCTATTCTATATTTTATCTATTCTATTATTAATTAATTAATTCTATTAATCTATTTTACCAAAAAGCAAGTATGAAATTTCCATAAAGCCATACGTGTTAAGTAAATAACATCTTGGATTAACAAAAATTTCTTCTCTATTTTGTAATCAATATTTAGTATAATTACCATTTATTCGAATAATGTTGAAAATTCGATTAGGCATTGATGAAATCAAATTACGAAAAGTTTCTGCTGCGATAGATGACCACGCTTCGTTCGCAGCGATCTATAACTCAGAAATAGAGTTATAATGTTCGCAATTACCATAGATTTTTCTCGAAATTGTTCCTCAAAGGTTTTCAATTGGATTTAAATCTGGTGAATAAGCTGGCCATGTAAAAATCCTGATATCTTTGTCGTCTAACCACTGCTCTTGTTGTTGGCTTGATGCATGAACTGCAGCGTTATTATGGTGAAAAATGAAGTTGCCGCACGCAGTTTCTTCGCAAAATGGTATGAAAACCATCTCCAAAACCATCTTCCGTATATTATGTCGATTTCATTTTATGATTAATTCAACAGACCGATGTTTTTTATTGGCTCTGGATGCAGTCCAAGTCGTCAGCTATAAATCGTTATCAGGCATGATATGGAATAATTATAAGATTTCACCGAAACATCACATGGTTCTACGGAAATTTCGGGCACTGTATAAACTCGTGTTGTGGAATCAATACCAATATTTTGAATACTGGTTGGTAGCTACTTTCCCAATTGATGGTTTTGAGTATAATGGTACATATATATATATATATATATACATTCATTACAATAAACATTAATAAATTTTAGACGTATACAATATTTAAGAAGAATTAACTTTTTTCATTTATTTATTGATTATTAAATTATCACTTTGCCACAGAATGGTGCTACCAGACATTTTAATGAGGCTGTTATTACATGTTATACGAGACTAATACATTTCCGTTATAGTTGAGCGTTCAATACAATAATTGCCTTGCTTATTAGGTATTACTGGATATTTATTTATAGCGTTGAAGCACTTTGGAGCATACTGAGCCGCATTGCATAGTGAAACTGTGTATATGACGTGTTAAAATGTCTACATAATCATATTTAGCAACAGAATGTTTAAAAAATTCAGCAGGAGATTAATTTCAAGTGAGTTCTCTCCGAGTGAATATTAGGAAGATCAAATGTTAGTTCAGAACGCAGCTTGTTCACATTGTTTTAAGACCAGAAGGCTATTTTACAATGTAATCTTTATAGAAAATAATGGCCAAAGGTTATATGATTGTATGCGATATAGTAATCGACTCGAAATTAAATAATTGAATTCCATTTATTTTCCTACATTTTAGATAAGATTTAAAAAAACGGCTCAAAATATCCTGGGATTCTTATTCAGACATATTCGTCGGATAGTACATCTTGATATTATAAAAACTTTTTTTACGAAAAGTTATCTTCCGAGTTATTTAACAAAATATGTTTCTATAACCGGTCTCGAAACCACATCGGGATACGATCGCTACGAATTTTCAAGCCCTAACGCAAAATTAATGAAAAAATCTATCGCACAAATGTTACTCGGTATTCGGCTAATGATAAATTGTGTTAATGGAAATCTGCATCAACGTTTTTATTCAATAAGAAATAAAGGTGATAAGAATTCTTTTTACGAAACAATATAATTTCTTTGTATGTGAATTATTATATCATTGTATTTTTCTTTGACACAATTGCTAAGGCATTTTCGTCGAAAATTGCCTTAATGATTGCCTTAATAATTGCCTTAATGAAATAGCCTGTGCTCATATAAATGTCGTACACTGCGTCGATCGCATATGGATAATTTTTAACCAATTTTGAATATTCATTTTCATTGTAATATATTCGAATAATCTGAATTTGACTAGAATTTGACTGAATTTGACTAAATAAAATCGTCCACGATGTAATTGAATAAATATTGTTTCAAGCATGTTGTGTTTGGTCTCTTTTTAATTGGAAGAATCTCGCCAATATGTTAACAAAATTTTCACGTAGAAAAAATTAGAGACAAGGGAGTTAAGACATCGTTTACAATGACTTTTGTCTGTAATGTACAACTGTTTTTTTTTCTTTTTGTCAATTCATTGTTGATACCACAAAGACCTGACTCGAATTCAATAGAAAACCTATGCAGTCGGTTGGATGAGAGAACTAATAAAACCAAATTTAAGGCATTTTCGTCGAAAATTGCCTTAATAATTGTCTTAATAATTGCCTTAATGAAATAGCCTGTGCTCATATAAACGTTCGTATACTGCGTCGATCACATATGGATAATTTTTAACCAATTTTGAATATTCATTTTCATTGTAATATATTCGAAAAATCTGAATTTGACTAGGATATTTTGGATGCGAAAGAATTCTAATGTCATCCACTGTGATCAATTCTAACCGTATAGTTTCGATTCAATTAATTAAATTGCTTCGACTTCGTGAGAATTTTAATGGTTGATTGTCGGCGCTGAACGTGTTAACTGGGAGAATAAATGACCAAACGGAAGTTACCTTAACCCCAGAATTGGCTAACTTCCTTTCGTAATCTGGCTATAAGTCTTCTGCTTCTGTTTGACGATCTTTTATTAATTTTGTAAAATTTTAGAATCAAGCTGCTATGCATTAATTAAATATTCTAAATATATTTATATGCTAGCTGATGTTCCATTTAAGTAAAGCTAAATTACTTTTCTATTTTGTTGACGGGAGTGGATAAATTTTTTCATCTATAATATATGTAAGTGTACATCAAATTATCTTAAAATAAATTGGATTGTTCGAGTAAATGTTTTGTTTGTTACATCAACAAACGTTAACAGCTTCGTGATAATGAAGCAACGTTATTTTGAACAAGTGGGTATAGGTTGTAATATTAATCTTTTCAAACAAATACATAGTCTCATTTTATATATTTTTTCCTAACATGCAAGAAAAAGTTCGCCGTTAATAAAAGATCGATAGTTACTTCTTCGAAACGTTTAAAAAGCAGAACTTATCTCGCGCCAATACTTTGATGTGCACCTCGTCATATACGCGGGTATCATTCTGTCGTAAGAAAAAGTTGATGAAAGAAACATAAACTGATGGAGGCGAGTTTATGAAAAGGA